GCCAGTAATAAGGCCTTATGATGGGGGTAGTTAGAGGGAGAGGTTTCATGGGGTATGATAGGGGTAGTTAGAGGGAGAGGTTTCAACCCAATTTAAGTTAAATATAGCTGAGAACAAACATGTCTCTTGTTCCTAATAACTAGAGTCTACTTAGCAGACGTGGATGCAAAGCAAGACAGTGGTTCTCGTACTTGAGTGAGCATCAGAACCACATGGAGAACTTGTCAAAAATAGCAACTGCTGGGCTCAGAATTTCTGATTCCTTAGGTCTAGGTGCGGCCTATGCATGTCTAACAAGTTCCCAGAGATGGGGCGATGCTGATCTGAGGACCTCATTTGGAGAGCCATCTGTTGTAGAAGTTTGGACTACATAATCATCTTTCCACTGACAGAAACCCAGGGAGTAGACTTATAAGGGGTATGGGCATGTTGGCCGTCAAGTATCACATGGATTCTAATAGCTGTTCTTTACTGCTGTTATCCCCATTTCACTAATTTTCAGGGAAAAACCCTCTTACCTAAATTCTTCCCAAGATCAAGTATTTCCTCCCTTATGGAGCATTCCCTACCTGCACTAGTCCATGATGCCTGTAATCCCAACACTTTGGGAGGCCAAGGAAGAAGGATCACTTGAGCCCAGGAGTTTAAGACCAGCTAGGGCAACATAGACTCCATCTCCACAAAAAAATTTAAAAATTAGTTGGGTGTGGTGGCGTGCACCTGTGGTCCGAGCTACTCAGGAGGCTGAGATGGGAGGATCACTTGAACCTGGGAGGCCAAGGCTGCAGTGAGCTGTGATCGCACCACCACGCTCCAGCCGGGGCACAGAGCAAGACTTTCTCTCTCTCTCTCTCTCTGTCTCATACACACACACCAGATACAGGAGGAAAATAATAATAGAAAATTCAATTCATTCTTCACCTCCAAAGCATCTAAATCCAGGCCTGACAGAAATACACCACCCAGAAACACACCAGGAGCAGCCTTCTCCTTCATCCTTTCTCCAGTGACCAATAATACAGCAGATGTCAAAAGCACAGCCTGCTCCAGAATCCTGAGCGGACAGGCTTCACCCCCACGTGGAGACGCCAGGTGGCCACACAGGTGTTACCGTGGTGGTTCTCAGCACTGGCTGCACATTGGAACTGCCTGGGAAGCTTGTAAACATCCAGACGGCCGGGTTCCCCTCAAAACCAATTAAGTCAGACTCTCTAGGGGTGGGACTCAGGCCTCACAATTTTAAAAGATCTTCAGGTAACTCATGTTCAGCCAAAATTGAGAAAAGCTGCTTTGTTTTTTTCCTAACCTCAGGCCCTCAGAAATACCAGTGTAGACTTGGCAGGGTTGTCCATCCTAGTGGATCATTCATTCTGGCCCTTAGGATGATCCTGGTTCTTAGCTGTTCCGTATCACTCAGCTCTGAGACATAACCTCATGCAGGGACAAGAAACACTTCAACAGAATCAAATGCCAGAGCAAAGGACTTCTCAATAGACCTAACCTCAAGGTTACATCTCTCCATTTAATAGTGTTGTCAGTTTTGAGTTCCTAAAAAGGTCAAAGGCGGTGCCTCCCAGCCGTAACCCTGGTCTCATTGTTTGGCTGGAGGCAACACTGTGGGAGGCTGGCAGGAGCACCTCCAGGACAGAGCAATCAGCTTCAGTGCCTGCAGCACTCTGACTTCTATTTCCTCTTGATTTTCTGGAGTTTTGGAGTAAAGATAGAAGATGACACCACATGGCCGGGGGCAGTGGCTCACGCCTATAATCTCGGCACTTTGGGAGGCCAAGGCGGGTGGATTGCCTGAGTTCAGGAGTTTGAGACCACCCTGGGCAACACAGTGAAACCCCCATCTCTACTAAAATACAAAACATTAGCCGGCCTTGGTGGCAGGCACCTGTAGTCCCAGCTAGTCGGGAGGGCTGAGGCAGAATTGCTTGAATGAACCCAGGAGGCAGAGGTTGCAGTGAGCTGAGATTGCACCACTGCACTCCAGCCTGGGTGACAGAGCAAGGCTCCGTCTCCAGAAAAAAAAAAAAAAAAAAAAGACACCAGAATAGAAGAATTAGTAGTCCTGGTCTTAGAGGCATCACAATTTGATGGCCCCCTCCTCACTCATTTCCTCAAGGGCTAAAGTCCCAAAATGTTGATAACAGTGTAGATTTTTTGCCTGTTTTGCAAACATGAGTACCTGACTTGTCTGTGTCCCTACAATGTCATCCACCTCTTCAAAAGCTCCTCTGCCTGGGTCACTGGGTTTCTGGGCCTGAGGTGTTTGCCTGGCATCCCCCAAGATGACGGATTTCCTGAGGTCAGGAGCTAAGGTTTACAGGCTATCTCCTGTGGTTGCCCCCATGCAGGGGTTCCAAAAGCATTGATTGGTTGGTAGAAAATATGGGAGGCCACATTTGAAGAGGAAGCTGTTCTTCCCCCTGGCCGGGCTCTCTTGAGAATTAAATGTGATTAAGGGCACAGTGGGCAGCAGGCAGTTAGAGCTCACCTTGGGGGAGTTGTCAAGAACCTCACTCACCACATCCCAGGGCCCGATATCCCAATATCCACCTGATGTCTGGCAAAAGACGCGCTTCCTTCTAGGAACAGGAGGTGCCTGTTTTTCACAGAGGCCTTTTCTCAACCCCTGCCCCTCCAATTTATCTAGCAAATGGCCCCAGGAGCTACCCATCTACTTCTCCCCCTTGCCCAAGGGCATCCGAAGGGGCTCTGAATAATATGCTGATATGCAATTTGGGAGCCTCAGGACAGCCCACTTCCCTCATGGGCACAGCCATGCACCACCCACTCCTGGAAGGTCTCCTCAACCCAGGGCTCCCTGAGAGCAATGGGGTGGCAGGCCAGGCACTCTCTGCACGGAGCCCGGGCAGCCCCTGAATACTCACCTCTTTGGCTCAGGGCCTGAGAGTCAGGCCAGGCTTGGGGCTAGGCCTGAAACCTGGTTATGGAGGTGGGCCTGGGCCTGGCCCTCAGGGAGCTTCCATTCCAGCCCTCAGGCAAGAGAAGAAGACCAGGAGGAAGAAAAACCTATGGAGAGCAGGGGCCCCATTCTGACCAGTGCTCCCTTCCCTCTTCCAGCAGCAGTGGTCTGAGGCGGGACAAAGCTTCCACTGCCTCCTCCTTTTGGGCAGCTCTGAGGCCTGAGGAGGTAATTAACTAATGATGCACCTGCTCTTCATTAACCAATGAAGCAGGGATACCCAACCACAGCTGGAATGTAAACAATACTGGGGGAATTAAAGATCAAAAAACACCAAAGGCCAAGACAAAGCTGATGGAGTGGCTTCTTCCCACTCACCCTCCACCTCTACCCCACCAGCCCTCACCAGAGGCTGAAAGAGATTCCTCCTCACTTATTTCTCAGGGGATCTTGCTGGAGCAGGAAATTTCCCTGACCCCTTGTGGGTGGGAACTGCAGTGTGGGTGCTTGAACTAGCTACTTCAGTGCCTGCAGGGCAAACCCCACTCAATGGAATCCGCTGCACTCAACCCCTCCAGGGAGGGAGCATGCAGGTGAGCGGGTGCAGGAGCCAGGGAGAGCGCTTTGGGTGCCAGCAGGAACACACTCTGTCCTGGCCCTGCAGCAGTGTCTAGGGGGGTGCCCACAACCCCTGAAGCCCCAGAAGGAGTGTTTCAGTCAGTGCTCTTTTAGCTTTGCCACCTGCAGATGGCTTAAGTGTTAACAGCTCAGTGGAGGGTCAGTGTGACAGCCCTTTGCACCCACACTCGAGTTCTTATCCGAGGTCTAGGAGGAATGAGGTCACACAAACAAATTGGAGATGACAAATGCAGGGGATTTTATTGCTGATGAAAGTGGCTCTCAGTGAGAAGTGGAGCTGAAAAGGGGAGGGAGTGGGTAGGTAATCTTCCCCCAGAGTTCAGCCATCCCTGGCCAGACTCCTCTCCAAAGCTATGCCATCAAGCTGTCCCTCTGAAGTCAAGCCCCTTCTCTCTGACATTCAACTGTAGTCTCTGACATCCAGCTGCTTCTTCTCTTCTCTCTCTGCCGGTGGAGCCTGGGGCTTCCATGGCACAGGAGAGCGGGTGGGGCGGGCCATGGGTGGTTTTGGAAAAGGCAACATTCAAGCAGGAAAACAGGAATGTATGATCTCACTTTGGACCATAGTTTCAGGCTTGAGGGTGGGGCCCTTGTTGGGGACCCGCCCACTTCTGCCCAGAATTTTCCTGCCTCCCGTCCCTATCATTGCCACCAAAACCTGGGCAAAGCTAAGGCTGAAATTCCCCTGGAGTGAAAACAAGATGGACATGAAGACCTGCTAGACCAGGAGTCACTCCTGCCACTGGCCTCCCCTTTTCTGAGCACTTCCTCCCTTCCTGGTGCCTCCTCATCACTCAGCTTTCCTTGGAGTGCACCCTCCAGTCCTAGGGAATCTGCTTCCAGAAACCTACTGGCATTAGTCATTTGCACCTTTGTGTGATTTCAGTCCTTATGTCATCTCTCCCACCAAAATCCCTGGGCCTCTGAGTGGAACGTCAAAGTCTTGTAGTCACTTTTCCTGGGTTGAAGAACTCCAGGCATGGCAAAGCCCTGGAAGAGATATGGGGTGGAGGAGGGATGCAGAGGAATTCTGGGTCCTGAAATTATGCCATTTAAGTGAATCTTGCCATCTCAGGCCCCACCACTCCGAAAGTGTTGGCATTCCTCAGAGTTATGTCCTTGGTCAAGGACACGTCTCTCGGGTCTTTTTTGCAGCACATAAGACTTCCACCACCACCCATCCCTGATACCCTCAAATCCTTACCTCTACCCGGTGTCTCTGAGTGCCCTGCCTTGGGATTAGGCTGGCTACTGAATGCTCAGTTTCTACCTGAACATGTGGCATCCCCTTCCCCAGATGCCATCTGCTCCTTCTTCCATAGCTCCATCAGTGGGACCATTCTACTCGGGTGACACCTGCCACATAAGCCCCTCTCCTCTCCATCCATCCTTCCATTGCCTTGGTTAGAGCCCTAGAACCCTCACTTACCTATGAGAACAGTCTATGTTTATTGAGAGTTTGAGGAGTCCTTGTAGGTGGTTTTTCTGCATGGAAAAGATTAAAGATAACTTTAGTTTAAAAAAAAAAAAAAAAGCAATGTAACTTTTTGGCATGATCAATTAAAAAAATCTTCCTTTAGCTTTTTTTCCAACAGGAATAATTTAATATAAAGAATTAACTAAGCATACATTTGTTGACTGTATCACCAATAATTATAATTATACTTTATTGGGCAACATTTTCAGTAAGTAGAGCTTTTAAAGGTCTAAGGATTAAGCACTTTCAGGTGTCATTTCTCTGTCTCTCTCTCTCGATATATATATTTCTATATATATATATTTTTTTTACTATCTTAACCATTTTTAAGTGGCACATTGTTCAGTGACATTAAATACATTCACGTTGTTGTTCTACCACTGCTAACATCCATCCACAGAATTCTTTTCATCTGCAAAACTGAAACTCTGTACACATTACACACTAACTCCCCATTCTCCTTCCCCTGCCCCAGCCCCTGGCACCACCATTCTACTTCTGTCTTTATGAATTTGACTACTCTAACCTCACATAGGTAAAATTATATTATATTTGTTATTTCATGACTGGCTTATTTCACTTAGCATAGTGTCCTCCAGGTTCATCCATGTTGAAGCATGTGACACAATTTTCTTCCTTTTTAAGGCTGCATAATATTCCATTGTATGGCTATACCACATTTTGTTTATTCATTCATCTGTAAAAAACCTTCCTTTAGCTTTTAAGTTCTTTGAAAGATTTTCCCCCTATTTATAACTGTAGCAAATTATAGGAAACATCTTTAGAATGTTGTTGGTTAATATTTGGTCCTATTTATAAGCTTATGTATATACATTCAAACATTTTAAAGTATTTTTATAAATTTAGTATATGCAACTTCTTTTTAAATACCTCAATTATCTGACTTAAACAAAATCTTAACAATCACTTTTAATAAATGTAAATATAATAAACTGATAAATAGAGCAGTACTTAAATTCTTCTAACTCTTCCAACACAGAAATTTATAAAGCTTTCAACTTAAAATCACAAGTCTAACTTCTGCAATTGCACTTTTAAATTCAAATTATAGTCCCAGCACTTTGGGAGGCTGAGGTAGGCAGATCACTTGAATTCAGGAGTTTGAAACCAGCCTGGGCAACATGGAGAAACCCCATCGCTACAAAAAATACAAAAACATTAACCAGGTGTAGTGATGCATACCTGTAGTCCCAGCTACTTGGGAGGCTGAGGTAGGAGAATTGCTTGAACCTGGGGGCTGCACTCCAGCCTGGGTGACAGAGCAAGACCCTATCTCAAAAAAAAAAAAAAAAAAATTCAAATTATAAGCCTCAGCTGTTCCTCTCATAGACCAAATTCTCTTAAACATCGTAAGTACTTAAAATGTCAACTATGTATAGAGTATTCCTAGAACAAAAGAATTAATACTGACCAGGTGCAGTGGCTCACACCTGTAATCCCAGCGCTTTGGGAGGCTGAGGTGGGTGGATCATGAGGTCTGGAGTTTGAGACCAGCCTGACCAATATGGTGAAACTCCATCTCTACTAAAAATACAAAAATTAGTTGGGCATGGTAACGCACACCTGTAGTCCCAGCTACTTGGGAGGCTAAGGCAGAAGAATTACTTGAACCCAGGAGGAAAAGGTTGCAGTGAGCTGAGATTGCACCACTGCACTCCAGTCTGGGAGACAGAGTAAAACTCCGTCCCCCCCCCAAAAAAAGAATTAATACTATCCAATGTATTTGAAATAATTTCTAATTTCTATACTGTACTTAATTTTCATGGGCCTAAAGAGGTTTTCCCAGAGAGGAGACTTTTCCAGACTTACCAGAAAATAAGAACCACCTGGGCATTTGTCAAATACACAGATTCCTGGGCCCCAACCTACATTCCCTGAATCTGCATTTCCAGGAAAAAGACCAGGTAATCTGCATGATTATAACAGCCCCAGTTTTATCTCATCACTGTGGAAGTTTGGAAACACTTTACTTAGGGGAAAATTGCTTCTCAGTCATCTACGGACCAGATTTTGGCCAGGCTCTGAGTAGATTCTTGAGGGTAACTCTGACAGGATCCCCCTACCCGTTTTTTATCTTTCATTTCAGGGTTGTTGTAAGTTACAGGAGGCAACTCACCTTCTTTTGATGTGTATCACATCATTATTCAGTTTTCAAATCAGAGTACAGCCTGGGGCCTCATCACTCTCTGGCTATATAGATAATGTCAATATCTTCTCTTTCTATCTCTGAAGAACTTTTTAAAAATTCTTGTCTCTCCAGGCTCTCAGGACCACATATCTTTAGAGACTGACAGGCTCCTAAGAAGCACCCTGATTCTGGCCCTGCCCCCTCCACAGGTGATCTTCCCTCCACATGTGATCTTCCCAAGATGCAAGAAAAGGGCATACCCTATTAAATCCTCCCCTGGCTGCCACCGCCAAGGTCCTATGGACCTAAAGGAAGAAGGCATAAAACATCATTTTAAAGAGTTAACGTGAAGGCTGGGCGCGGTGGCTCATGCCTGTAATCCCAGCACTTTGGGAGGCCAAGGCGGGCAGATCACGAGGTCAGGAGTTCGAGACCAGTGTGACCAACATGGTGAAACCTCATCTATACTAAAAATACAAAAATTAGCTGGGTGTGGGGGCATGCACCTGTAATCCCAGTTACTCAGGAGGCTGAGGCAGGAAAATCGCTTGAACCCGGGAGGTGGAGGTTGCAGTGAGCTGAGATTGCACCGTTGCACTCCAGCCTGGGCAAAAGAGCAAGACTCTGTCTCAAAGAAAAAAAAAAGAGAGAGAGAGTTTATTTGATTTTTAAACTTTTATGTATTTTTTATTGTTGTTGCAGAGACAAGTTCTTGCAATGTTGCCCAGAGCTGGTCTTGAACTCCTGACCTCAAGCAGTCCTCCCACCTTGGCCTACCCAAAGTGCTGGGATTACAAGGATGAGTCACTATGCCTGGCCTTAAAGAGTTTATTTGAGCCAAAGTGAGGGCAGCTGCCCAGGACACACTTCCAAGTTGCCTTGGGGAGTGTTCTGTTCTGCCTTTGTTGCAAGCAAGTTTTCAAAGGCAAAAGGGAACAAGGAGTGGGATGATATAAAGTTGTCTGACAGTTCTCATTGGTTTTCAGAAATAACGCTGATTAGTGATTGGCTGTACATTGTTGAACTATAGAATATGAGTTATGGTATCCAGAGTGTGGCATTTTACGGCTACTGAGTGTCAGTCTAGAGCCCAGATGGCAAGTGGCTTCAAGAGGGAATTATTGATCTCATGGGCAGAGTGAGACATGACTACAGCCACATTTTAAATGTCTCTCTGGGCCTGGTATTTCAAAGGGGCTGATGTTCCTCAGATTAAAAAGTTTCTTTTCTTTCTTACTCCCTAGCCTGGCATGAAAAGCCTGGCTCACAGCCCACCTCCCTTTTCCCAGGTCTGTCTCTCAGGCCACCTCCACTGGGTCCCAGCTGCACAGAACTCCCCACAGTTCTCCAAAGAGCCCACTCAGCGCCACACCTGAGGCCAGGCACCTTAACGTGCATTATAGGAGAATTCCCGAAAGCAATCTTTGCGACCCGCTGAATCCCATCTCCAGGCCTTTGCCCTTGATGTTTTCTCTGCCTGGAGTGCCCTCTCCTAACTTGCTGATTCCCACCCACGCTTTAGGGCCCGGCGTAACCGTCTCTTCCTCTGTGGAGCATTTCTTGACTACTAAAGTCAAGTTCATCTCTCTTCTTTGTGTCCCCACTGACCTAGCAGATACTTCAGTTTGTAAACATCTGTGATGATCACTGACCTAGGCAAAGCTAAGTGAGGCCAGGGACCCTGTCTCCTGTTCATCACCGAGGTGCCAGCACCACATAGAGCCAGGCTCACTCACTGAATGATGACCCCATGTCTCCCCCGGCCGCATCAACCGCGGATGAACAGATGTACCAGGCTCCCCTGTACCAGTGCCTCTCCACTGCCCTTGGCGCAAAATGTTTGTTTTTCATTTCATTAGGCTGAAAAAGAATGGTTTAGCTGCTTCCCTGGGTATCACTGCCAACATGCCCCAGTCGCCCAGATGGCTTCTTCACCAACAACTGTGACTGGTGACCCCAGTGTGACCACTAGCTAAGATCTTTGTCCCACGGGGGAAGTGCAGACAGGTGCCCACGTCAATAGATCCTGCCAAAGATGTCTAGTGCTAATTCTTCTCCCCAGCCAAACCAAGTTGGCCAGGCTGCAAAATGCCTGAGGAAGACCTGCCGCCAGAGCGGGCCTACCCACACCTGAGGGCTCCCAGGTGCCTGTGGGCCAGGCTCTGTGCCTCCAGCAGTTGCTGCTGCTGCTGCTACGGCTCTCCCAGTCATGAGCCAGCCCCGTGGACTGCTGGCATCAGCCTGGGAGCTTAGCCATTTCATGCATCTGCAGCAAGCATCGGCTCCTTCTCCCAGCTCTCTGTGTGGAAAGCAGCAAGCTCCACTCAACTTAACCATGGACAGAGCAGCCAAGTTTTAGAGCACCAGGTCTGAAGGCTGCCTGACCTTTCTCTCCCAGAGTACAGTCCTGGCCAGGACTTCAAGCCTCAGTGAAGATTTATTTTTACTCAGACCTAGCGTTGAAAGCTCAGGGAACAGGCTTTCATTTAATGTCTGGCCAAGAGACATGCTTGGAGATTGACAGCATTTCGGGTCAGGTGCCTCTGGTTCTGGCCCAGGCAGAGGCCAGTGTCTGCCAAAAGAGTGGCCGGGGCTGGGCGCGGTGGCTCAAGCCTATTATCCCAGCACTTTGGGAGGCTGAGGCGGGCGGATCATGAGGTCAGGAGATGAGACCATCCTGGCTAGCACGGTGAAACCCCGTCTCTACTAAAAACAGAAAAAAATTACCCGGGCGTGGTGGCAGGCGCCTGTAGTCTCAGCTACTTGGGAGGCTGAGGCAGGAGAATGGCGTGAACCCGGGAGGCGGAGCTTGCTTGGAGCCGAGATTGTGCCACTGCACTTCAGCCTGGGTGACAGAGAGAG